ACGGAGTGACGACTGCCCCGTGCCTGCGAGCACTGGGAGTGCAGAGTGCAGAGCGCACTGTGGAGTGCGGAGTGTCGACTGCCCTGTGCTTGCGCTGCAGCCCCTGGTGCGGGTGTGCTGCGGCATGCCGACTGCGGATTTGAGGAAGTGCGGCTGGACGAAACTGCGGATTTGAGGAAGTGCGGTTTGGGTTTATAATGGATTTGGAGCTAGCTTTAGGGGTTAGTTCACCTAGGATTTTACGAAGAAAATTAGATCCAATCTCACCTTTACAGATGAAAGCGAAGGGCACGGGGGTATTGTACCTGACGAGTGCAAAGCCAATCGGCATGGGTGCCGGAAATCTGGAAACGTGGTGGTATGCAGGGTTATAAAAGGCGCACGTCTCGCTGTCCTCGTGCGCTCTGCATTGTGACGCGATGGCAAAACATCCCGCATCTGATGTGGCAGCACCTTTGTTCACTTCCCAAGCGTTCTGCGACAAGTGCAAGGTGAATTGCGAGGCATGACCTTGTATATTTTATTCTTTTACATTTCAATTGGGTCTTCCATTCTCGATAGCCCATATCCCAAAAGCAAAAAAAGCTCATTAGGCCTTTTTAATAGCCCAATTAAGGACCCCAAATCATTCTCATTTCTTATTTGATTTTGCTTTGATATTAGTCATGATTTGACTTTTGATTTGGAAAATAATGATCTTTGCTACTATGTCGGATGCGTTAGCATTATGAATTAAGACTATTTTGTGATTTGATAGTAGATATTATTCATCTTAACTTATTGTTTATGTGCCAATTCATAAAAATATTCTATTATCTATCTTGAAGAGTTACGTGTAGGGTGTGCGTCTCGCTTCATTTGGGCGCACGAATCGCATTGCGCCTTGCGCATGTGCGTGTAAAGGGACTTTGTTCCTGCATTTTGCCTCACACATCGATAACACTGGTGGTACGTTATGGCCTATTTAGCACCACACAGACTAAATGATTAGTCAATTTGGAGTTTAAAAGAGATGTGGGTTCCTTGTTTTTGACGGCTAGCTTTTTAAGGCAAGTTCTCCTAGGTCTCTTACACAGTTCTGCACCAGCTCGAAGTTGCTAGCAAAATTTGATGTCACTTCAAAGTACATTTTCTGTGTAATTGTTATATTTTGACAATTTTCTTCTTTCTAGGATTTTGTATCAATCCAATAATTTGGCAATCTTTGGGATGCATTATAAGTTTAAGATTAGTTATTTAACCTAGCTTTGTGCATATGCATCAACTGGATAGATGATATAACTCCCAGTGTGAAGGTGGAAAAGTCTATTGTTTCAGATCACGAGCTCTCCAAAACTAAAATTTGGAATGATATTTGTTGAAATAAAGTATGTCGGTTTGATCTTTGAAGAAGATAGAAATAGATTTAATTGAAGGAGCATAGATGGAATCAGAAAAAATATACAAAAAAAGAGAAAAGAAAGACATTGGAAGCAACTTCACGCAATTGTGAACATAAAGCTCACTGCACATGTTTACGTTTGTTAGAGTTATTGCTTATTATGAAATCATTATATAAAAACCTGCGACAGTTTCAAATAGCCTATTGGCATTTTTTTTCCTAAGCAAAAGGTCATGAGTTCAAACCTTGCTTAAGCCAAGGTTGAAATAATTTAAAATCTAATTAGTCCCTATTGGTGGTTTGGTTGGCCGTGGACCGAGACTGATCAGGCTGAGGCACAATGTGATGTGTGGAGATGACACCATGTAGGCGTCTGGCTGGCATCTATACTGGCTGCTAAAGTAAGTGCTCTTTACGAATCCTTAAGGACATTGATCATAATGTCTGGCGCTTTAGCAGGTTGGAGAATAAGTACTCTGGTGATGTATATGACATTCATTTATAACTCATGCATATACTTAGTTACTGGATACGTAGGTGCTGTTTTTGAATTCTTAAAGATGTTGATCATATTGTCTGATGCTGTAGTAGGTCAGAACAAGTACTCTGGTGATGTTTACGACATCTGTTTATAACTCATGTGGATACTTAGTTACTAGATAGGGTAATAGGCAAGAAAATGCATGTGTAAAGAGCTGGACCATTGATTAGCGGGAAGAAGTGGAAAAAGAAAGTAGTAACAAAGTGAACAGATAGTGAGACGACAATGCAGAGAAGTCTGGGAGAGCATTGGCAGACTATTATGGGCAACCTATTTCAGGAGCATTTGGTTTGAGGTACTGAGGTTTCCCTATATTTCCCAACAGGTTTACTTAGTTTTATTTTCTTTCCTGTTACTGAAGGGAATGCTACCAGATTATTCTCCTTAAGCCTTCTGATAACACTCCTGAGAGCATTTTCTTATTGACACGGTGAAATGTCTTGACTGGTGCATTTTTTCATGGGCTGTGTCTGGATCAGAAATTCCTCTTTGCCGCACATTGTGTACTGGAGACCTATGTTTGAACTTGATTTTTCATTGCTGATATTGAGACCTTTGTTAGAAGTCAACATTTTCCCCACCCCACCTACCTAGCCGCAGTAATCACCTAACTCTAATAGTGTATACATACCCCATAAGAAAGTCTATATATACCCCTTAAGTTCGATTTGTAAGGCATCCCAGTATCAGAGAGAGAAAGAGAAAGAGAAAGATATAAAACTCCTTCGATGTGTACTCTCCTCCGTTGTTTGTGCGTAGGCAACGAATCTTTTTGCCGAGTTCTCCTTCGCCTTCGTCTCGAAATTGCTTGAATTTGGAGACTGCTTCAGACTTTTCCTTCATAAAATCAACCCAGACATATCTCGAGTAATCGTCAATCAAAGTGATCATGTACTGCATCCCACTAATTGATTCTTGTTTTACTCGACCAAATACATCTGAGTGTACAAGTTCCAAAGGTTCCTTAGCTTTGAACTGTGACTCTTGTTACGGTAATTGATGTGCATTACTATACTGACAACCTCCGCATATGGTGCCTCCTCAAATATCCAACTGTGGAAACCCCGTCAACATTGACTTTTCATCATAATCTTGAGCTTGTGATACCTCACATGACCAAGCCGAGCATGCCACAGATCAGTCATCTCATTCTTTTTGGTTTTATCTATGTATGCCGATTCTGCCGACATCACATAGACATATTCTACATTCCGTCCCTCCATGATAGATTCTTCTGGTGGCTTCAAGTCTCGACAGACTTTTACATCTTGTGACCCAAATACTACATAGTTTCTAGAAGTCGTCAACTGAGACACTGATATGAGATTTTTTTGCATACCTGAGACATGGTATACATCTTGTAGTTAAATTTGATTTGGATTGAAACGTGGCATGAATGTGGTTTTCTCAATATAAGTGATAGGCAATCTTGAATTATTTGCAATTACTACTTCTCGGCCTCCTTTATACTCCTTTATATTAACAAGCTTCCACTTATTTCCCGTCATGTGGTTGAAGTAGCCAGAATCGATGATCCAATCTTTACTATATTTGATTTCTTCTCGATCTGAAACCGCTGCAAGTGCGGACTCATATTCTTCCACAATCGAAGTTAGTGCCATATCAACGACCTCTTCACCCCATGATGCTTCTTCGACGATGGCCACAGATGGTTGGGCAACCCATTCTTCTTTATCATCTTGACATCTACGTAATATTGCAGCATTACCCTCTACAGCCATTCTCTTATAGCAGTAGTCTCTGGCAAAATGATCTTTCCACAATTATAACACGCTAACATCAGGTCACCTTACTTGACGATCACCTTGCTCCTCACTTTGTTGTAAGATTTTAAATGTCGGATGTCGGGTTCATGTCGGATGACTGAAATCCATGTCGGATAGCGAAAATCGGGGATATATCGGGGGACATTGACTAAATATCGGATTGTTATATCGTCGGGATAATTTTCATCGCTTAATCCGTGTTGAACCAATCCAAGAAATGGCAAATCAGCCCGTTCTTCAAGATATGTGTTACCCCAACAGAAATGCAATTCCATCTTGCATAAGACTCCCCGAAGTAAATGGAGCAAATTTCGAGCTTAGACCGCATTCTATAAACTAAACATATAAAAAAGTAAATAATATATGGATTTGGGTTCATAAATTCTTTCTATCGGGTGCATAAAGAAACCCTTAAACATGAGAACGGGTCAAATGGTATGAGTATTTATCACTAAACCCAAACCCGATAACAAAAAACATATCTTAAAAAAAGTTCCATATCGGCCGATTTTTCAAAACTAAAAAATAGGCCGATATGCTCGATATGATCCTGATATTTTCGATTTTGCCCTGAAAACCGACATACGAGTTGAAAATGTTCATGTCGTGTCGGTCACGCCCTCAAACCGATATGTCGGGCGGACAAAGCTAAAAAATGGTTGTACAGCTTACCGATAAATTCCATCTCAACTTGGGAGGAATTTGTCACAGTTTTTCTCAAGAAATTTTTCCCTATTCACAAAATGGTAAAGCTTAGGAACAGCATTCAAAATTTTCAAATTGTCCCAGGAGAGCCTTTCTGGAAATACTTTGACCGATTTAAAGATCTTTTAATCCAATGTCCTCATCACGGTCTAGAAAAATGGCGATTGTGCCAAGTCATATATGAAGGATTGGACTATTCTTCAAAAACATCTTTAGAATCGATGTGTCAGGGAGATTTTATGAGAAAAAACGCCGATGAAGCTTGGGAATTCCTAGAGAGTCTATCCGAGAAAACAATGCAGTGGGAAAACTGTGATGACAGGGTTTCATCTGTTTCCCAATCTAAGTCTAGTGGTTTTTCCTTAGAGTCAAACATTGCGTCTGAAGCGAAGATGGCGACGATTATGCGGAGGTTAGAAGCCTTAGAAGTTAAGGAACGAGCTCCGGCTCAAATCAATCATATTTCTGTCCCGAGATGTCATAACTGTCAGTCTCCTACCCACGTTTCAGAGGAATGTCCTCTTCTAGGAAACAACCACGCTTTAGAACAGATGAACGCTGTATTTCAGCGTCCTAGAAATGATCCATTTTCTCCAACCTACAATCCAGGTTGGAGAAATCATCCCAATTTTGCTTGGAACCAAGGAAATTCTCACGGAAACCAAAACTTCATTCCTGCGTCGAACCAACAATTCCCTAGAGGAAACGCTGTCCCATTCAATGCACCGAACAATTTTGCTAACCCACCTTTTCCAAACCAACATCCTCATCCGATATGTCGGCCGACATGTCGGACATGTCGGACGATATTTAAAACCTTGCTTTGTTGTGTTCTGCTGGCATATGACTGTCTTGACTGCCTCCTAGAGCCATACTCCTCTTTGCTTGCGCCTCTTAGTTCGCCCCTCTCCTAATTGCTGAAGAATGTCTCATCTTCGCTTTTTATTGGAACTCCGGCTATTTGTTTGGCTAAGGTTTCTTGTGTAGCGAGCAAACTCTCCAGCTCAAATAATGTTGGTTCATGGTTTTGTCGGCCATCTGTGAGTAGCAGCAACGAGCCTGTGGTACTCCGATCTCAATCCGTGGATGATTATTCTCCTCATCATTGCATCGGATACTTTAGAATCTGGATCTAATTAAGCGATATCTAAGCAAAAGTGATTTAATTTGCTTAAAGTACTGACTGATTGTCAGATGACTCAGATCTTTTTGTTACAAGGTCATCAATTGATTCTTCAGGAGTTAAAATCGAGCATCATTCTTCTTCGAAAAGAGTGTGACGAGCGTATCCCATGCCTCCTTCGGAGTTCTGACATCTCGCATGTAATCTACGAGATCTTCTACTGTTGTCTTCAACACATATATAGCATTGCCGGCTTTGATGTTTCACTTTCTTATTGCTTTGCTAGCTTCCCGAAGTGTTGTAGTTTCAGCACCCCCGATGACTTCCTAGATGTCTTGTCCTTGTAGATATGACTTCATACACGTCTCCCAGTAGTTATAGTTATTATCATTAAGTTTCTTGAGTATAGTAGTCGTATTTACCAGATCCGCCATCGTGACGTGGTACTGTTTCAATATCTCCACGCAAGTCTGGTTCCTGACCAACCAACTTCATAGTCCCGGACTGAACACGAGCTTCAGCCTTAAAGAATGTTGCTAGGATCTTCGTAGGAGAGAGCAGATCCCTGACCGTCTTGCTTCTCTCACGAGCTATAAGTTTCACTATTTCATGTGAACAGTAATTGTACTTATAAACAGTAACCACATTTGTGAATAGTAATCGTACTCATAAATAGTGTTGTCCTCGTGAATAGTAACTAGTGCCTTCAAAGCGTAAATGATAATCTAACTTATTTTCTGATATGGAGGATCCACCTTTCGTGGTAGTTACAGAGCATACGATAAGCAAATACAAGCACCCTAATTCAGGCTCTGATATAACTTGTTGAGTTGAGAGAAGTGGTGGACACTAAGAAATATATTGTTATTATTTATTTAGTGGTACAAACACACTATACTCTCAAATACAAATAAACACATCGAATGAGTTTTACGACTACCTAAAACAGCACAAGATTCGGCGACAGCTAACGTGCCCAAATACTCTACAGCAGAATGCGTAGTCAAAAGAAAGAATCGTCATCTCGCTGAAATTTGCAGAAGCATGCTTCACACCAAGAACATACCAGGACATTTTTGGGCCGAGTGTATGAAGATTGCGGCGCACGTGATCAATCGGCTACCACAACCGAAGCTGGAGTTCATGTCGCCCTTTCAGAAGTTGTGGAATACCAACCTAACCGTAAGCCATTTCAGAGTCTTCGATTTTGTATGTTATGTCTTTGTACCTGATCACTTACACAACAAGTTCGATAAAAAGGCTGTAAGATGTATATTTGTGGGGTATGACAATAAAAGAAAAGGATGGAGATGTGATCCCACAACCGAACGGTGCTACACATCAAGGAATGTTATGTTTGACGAAGCCTCGTCTTGGTGGGCTTCACAAGAAGTTGCACTCCTAAACTCTAGTGATCTAGAGGATCAGTTGCAGAAGAAGCTGAGAGAGCCAGGTCAAGAAGAAGGACTACATCAATCAGAAAAGACAGAATCAAGCTCTTCAACATCCTCAAAGGAGAATAATCCATGGATAACTGATGTTTATCAGACACACCAGAAGAAGAGCGCCCAAGCCAGATAGAGAATATTGAAGAAGAACCAACTGAACAACTTCGAAGATCAACTAGACCCAGGAAACTGAATCTCAAGTATGCTAAGGTGGCCATTTATGAAAGATGTGAAGGAGCCATCTACCTTCAAAGAAGCATACGAGAGTGAAGAATGGAGACAAGCAGTGAGAGAGGAAATCCAAGCATTGAAAAGTAAGTTAGAATTCTTGGACTTGTGGATAGAGAAGTCGCTGTTGAGGGGGAGCGTTAGAAGTCAACAGCTCCCCACCCTACCTAACCTCTTCACCTACCTAGCTACAGTAATCACCTAACTTTAATAGTGTATACCTACCCCATAAGAAGGCCTATATATACCCCCTAAGTTTGATTTGTAAGGCATCCCAGTAGCAGAGAGAGAAAGAGAAAGATAAAAAGAGAGAGAGTATTTGTATTTGAGAGTATAATATGTTTGTACTACTAAAGAAATAATAACAATATATTTTTTAGTGTCCACCACTCCTCAACTCAACAACCTTAACTTGATATCAAATGTATGTTTCGAATTTTCCGGTTCAACATACTCTTTATTGTAAATGCTATTTCATTGATGGGAGAACTTGTCTTCTTGTTGGAATAGATTGATAGAAAATATTATTGTTCGAGTGGAGAGCTGCATGCCTTTCTTTATGCTTCCCTTTTTCTTTTCTTTTCGTTTATTTATTTTGATAATAACTATAGGTTTTCAAATGTATTTAAATATCTTTTTGAGGAGATGTACATGTTGGATTCTATTCTTTTGTTTGTCTAGAGTACACCTTTCAATACTTTTGTAGATTGTATATTTAAACCGTGCATTTTTTCACTTCTAACTTTCTGACCCATAAGAATAACTTTTTAAATAATAGATTCTCTATTCATGATCTCATGCTCGGAGATCTTGCTTCAGCTAATCGGCTTTCAGCTTCATTTAGATGATATACTGACTTGTTTGCTTTCTGATGAACTTTGCCTTTATTTCCTATGAAATACAAATATCATCTTTATTGGTCTCTAGTTAGCAGATTTCCGTTACTAGCCTATTTCTGATCTATTTGTGCAGTGTGAGTGTATTTGGAGTTTCTGCAGAATCTATGCAGTGTTCTCATGATAACAGGGGGAACAGCGTGCCGACTATTTTGCTCTCTATGCAAAGACACTTGTATTCACAAGGAGGTCTCCAGGCATGTTCCCTATTCCAGGAGTTAACTGATTGATACCCATCATTTATATTTTTCTTAATGAATTACCTTATGTTTTAAAGGTGGAAGGAATCTTTAGAATTAATGCAGACAATAGTCAAGAAGTCTATTTCAGAGAGCAATTGAACACTGGTTCCATACCAGAAGGAATTGATTTACACTGTCTAGCTGGTTTGATTAAGGTAATCAGCAAATTTTGCTTTGTAACGCTATTTTAGTATAAACTTTATTCATCTTCCATCTCATGTATGAGTTAAAAAGCAAATTTTCATTCATGGGGTGAGTCCATTACCCTAGCATAAATCTTTTAATCTGATCTGATCATCATTTCACTTTTGTTCTATCTGCACCTCCTTGATGGAAACATACTCCCCGTGTATGGTATTTGATTGCATCATTCTACCTATTCCTTTTATATGAACCTGACATTAACATAATACTTTAGATATTTGTTTTGAAATATAATTTGAAAGCATGAATATCAAATTTTGAAATGAGTGCATGGATGAAATCATGCAAATCAGCACAAAGTTGTGTTCTCTTAAATAAAATGGAGACATCGTTGTAACCTTTTAGCACTTTTTTACTTGGTTTCACGCTAATACAATCTATTATGATTTGGTCTTGATATTAAATTCAAGATAATTTAATCCAAATGTTGTGTTGAAAGAAACTATGACAGTGGTTATCTTGTTATATAACCGGTAGTACTTCAATAACATTGCATACTCGAAATGGACAGTAAACTAGTGAAGAATTTATGTTAACAAAGATGCCAGCAAAAACAGCAGGCTTTCGTCCGAAAAGTTCGCAGCAATAGCTACATGAACTGTAGCAATTTTTTTGTTATTTATTTATTCAGCCTTTGTGGGAACAGCTTGGTCCCAATCTTCATGCCCTTATCCCAAATCCCTATGGTTTTGTGTGGATACCTTGGTGTTTTTCTTATTGTGTTTTTGTAAAAAAACATCAGGACGTTGTGTTTTCTCCTTAAAGTGTTTTCAAAACACCATGTGAAATGTTTTTGGTCAATACTAGTTTGACCCGTTACAACATTAGTATTAAACATATTATATATTAATTATAATAAAATATATTATAAATAAAATGTTATAATATTTTGTTTACATTATTATAGAATTATAAATATTAAATATAATACAATATAATATTGTATAATTTATTATAATATTATATCGTACTTTAATGTGTTATATTATATTATAGTAATTACATATTATTTTTAAATATTAATATATTTAATTATTTTGGTATATCAATTTGTTATTATTATATATTTATAATATTTTTAGAATAATGTTATTTATTATTAATATAATATTATACTATTATTAATATAATATAATATAATGCTATACTATGATACATATAATATAATATTATTATTATAATATTATTATATTATTGTTTTATTATTAAATATGTTACTATCATATAATATTTTGTAATTATTAATTTATTACAATTTATTTATTAAAAAATTAATAATATTATAATAATTATAATATTGTATAATATATTATTATATCATTATTAAATTATTATTTATAATTAATAATTTACTATTATTTTTGTTAGTTTACTTATATTTTATTATTATTTATTATTATATAATACATTATCAACATATTACATACTAGTATTTAATATGTTATTATATTATTATATAAGATATTTTAATTACTATTTTTGGTATTATTTAATAAATATTTTTAATCTATTAGATTAGCTATAGTATAGTATAGTATAATGTAATATAATATAATAAGCATGTCCATAATAACTATATATTAATTACATTTACTATGTTATGTTAGGTATTATATTAACACCTCAAACTCAAAACCAAAACACCTAAAAGGTATTTCGAAATAAGTGTTATGTTTTTTGTTTGAGGATGATTTAGCTCAAAAAATATAATGGTTTCCAAACATATGGTGTCTTGTTTTTGACAAGAACATCATGAAAACAAGCAAAACACAATAATAGTCAAACAGAGCCCAAGTTTTTGGTCTCCATTGCAAATATTTTCTCCATTTAGAAATGTAAGGGCCAAAAGTCTGATGAATTTAGCTATCATTATATCTTGTTTCAGTTCCTTAATCCATGGTGTTTTCATCTAATCCTTGTCCTAGCCTGTTCTTGAACAATTATTCTCTCACTTCTAGCTGGTGCACTCATCAGTCTTTATTACGAATGTAGAAACCACCTCAGGACATTATTTCTCATCCAATCATCAGCTGAAGATTTGAACTTTTAGACCATTCTTTCCTTAATTTCATTCCTTTATTTTATCATACTGCTTATGTGAACGTGGGACCCACGAACCACGTGAATGGCTAAGGAGCTGGCAAATTGCACGCAAGTGGGGGCCATACCTCACGCACGAGACGGGTTTACGCGTTTTTCAATTGGGAACGAGGCGTGGGGACCAGGCCTTTTATCAACGAACGCGTTTATCACGAACGTGTTTATCAGCCTATAAATAGGAACATGGTCTGTTCCTAGGGTTTAGTGCAAGAGCAAAAAGCGGGCAGGAGAAAATTTGTGCGGCGTACAGGTGCAAGTACAAGCAGAGGAGAAAATTACAGAGAAAAGTCTGCTGTGTGTTTCTTGGGCTACGTGTATCAGGAGAAACAAAGTTCTTTTTGGCTGTTTTGAGAGTTAGTTTGAGGGTTTAGATTGTGAGATTGTAAACCTTAGTTGTATTCTCTCCCTCTAATAGTAGATCTCCCCCTTCTTGCCCCGTGGACGTAGGCTATTTGCCGAGCCACGTAAAATAGTTTGTCTTGCTGTGATTTGTAATAGCTTGTAGGTTTCCTCGACAAGTCAGTCCTAGAATTGATGAGAGGAAGAGTTGATATCTCACTTTGTTGAGATATTTTACTTTCGGTTCTTGTTTCCTTTGTGAAACGAGAATTTTATTGTGATCTAATCTCTTATTGTGCACCTTGCGCATCGGAGGTGCTGTCGAAATTTTCGCTGCGCACAACAAGTGGTATCAGAGCTTCAAGTTTGGCTTGAGGCTTGTTCGAAGGATTCCTATCTGAAGAGTTAGAACGATTACATGGGAGAAGCAAGCACATCAGGTTCGTCTCTTACGAAGACGATACAAAATCTGAGTATCAATAACACAAAGATTGATGTTCCGAAGTTAGACGGTAAGATTAATTTTGGATTATGGAGGTGTCAGGTGATGGACGCCTTGGATGCACAGAATTTGGAGGAAACTCTTGAGTTACAAGAGAAACCCGAAGATATGAAGGACAAGGTTTGAAAGAAGAATAGTAGGGCTTGTGGAGTTATTCGGTCATGTTTGACGTCGGATCTTGTTTATGATGTAATGAACGAGACGTCGGCGAAGAGAATATGGGAAACACTCAATGAGAAGTATCTTACAAAGAGTATTGAGAATCGGCTTCACTTAAAGAAGAGGTTTTTACCAATTCAAGATGAAAATGGGAGTTTCCATCAGGGAGCATGTTAACAATTTCACGAAGCTACTTTCAGATATGGTCAATTTGGATATCATGGGTGAGGATGAAGACAAGACGATGTTACTTTTGTGTTCGTTGTCTGAGGATGATTACAGTACGTTCGTTCTTACTATGATCAATGAAAGAACTACTGTTAGCTATAAGGAGGTGACCTCAGCTTTGGTGAATTATGAGTTGAGGAAGAGTGGTGGTGAACCATTCGAGAAGGCATAGGGAGATGCATTAGCAGTTCGAGGTCGTGATCCAACCCGCCGCCAGTTCAATCGCTCAAAATCAAAGAATAGAGGTGGTCATAAGGGTATTGGTAGGAATCAATGTCGTTTTTGTAAAAAAGAGGGACATTGGAAGATTGACTGCCCAAAGTTGAATGATAAAGCCGGGAAGAATAAATGAAAAGTTGTACAAGCTTCAGAAGTGAATATTGCAAAAGCTGTTAATGAACATTCAGATTTAGATTCTTCAGACTAATCGTGCCATACACTACCGTTGGTTTGCTATGCCGACTCTATATAGTGGATGTTAGATTCAGGAGCTACATATCATATTTTTCCTAGGAGGGATTGGTTCTTCAGCTTTGAGAAGCTGGAAAGAGGAGATATCGTGCTTATGGGTAATGACCACGTATGCCCTATTAGTGGTATTGGTTCAGTCCGGATTAGGATGCATGACGGAGTGGTGAGGGAATTGAAAGAAGTGAGGTTCGTGCTGCAGTTAACGAAGAACATCATTTCTCTTGGTACTTTGGAGGCAGCTAGTTATCGGGTGATATTAGAGGATGCTACAACAAAGGTCATGAAGGGTTCTATGGTGGTGATGCGAGGAGTCAGGAAAAACTTCCTATACTACTTGAAGAGCAAGACAGTTATAGGGGGTCTGGCAGCTTCTATCACTACAGAGGAGGACACTACCATATTATGACACATGAGACTAGGACACACAAGAGATAAGTCCCTGCAGTCATTGGAGAAACATAAGCTATTGAAAGCAATGTTTTAAATATCGGATATCGGGGAAATATCGGATGGCTAAAATTCATATCGGATTATGGATATCGGGGAAATATCGGGGATATGTGGTAAATATCGGAATGCCATAATGAATGTTTGCATACATAGTATAATGCATTAAAATGTAATCTCAATATATGTAATAAAATTTAAGTATACAAAATATGAATAATATATGTTTAGGATCACTAATCAACCTTCTAAAACAAATAAAAGTGCAAAGGAACGTTGCAACATTCAATCTGCTTTTTTTAGGGCAAAATGTCATTTGATATAATGGAAAAATCTTGATATCTCACCCAAAAATTCCAAACACGGTATATTATTTTGCAACAAGCTATATAAAAAGATATATTGGTCCACATATCGGCTAATATATCGGCTATATCGGAGATTTAAATAGCCAAAAAACGGTAAAGGATATTTAAAGACCATATCGATTGCGACAAGCCCTGTAAAAGATATATCGGGGGATATATCGGGTCATGTCAGGGATATTTAAAACAATGATTGAAATGTGCTAAGACCTGCAAGATGGAGTTGTGTGAGTATTGTATACTTGGGAAGAAGACTAGAGTGAAGTTTGACACTACTATTCACAACACCCAAGGTATATTGGATTACATTCACACAGATGTTTGGGATCCTTCCAAAAACATATTACTTGGTGGGGTCAACTATTTTGTCATTTTCATTGACGATTATTCCATGAGAAATTGGGTATACCCTATGAAGCATAAACATGAGATCCTGTATATTTTTGTCGAGAAAAAAAAGTGGAGCTGCAGACAGGTAGAAAGGTGAAGACTCTACGTTCAGATAACGGTGGAGAGTATAAGAGTGATCCGTTTTTATAGTTTTATCGGGATCACTGTATTAGGCGACACTTCACAGTACGAGAGACACCACAACAGAACGAGGTGGCTGAGAGATTGAACCGTACCTTGCTGGAGAATGTGCGATGTATGATGACGCAGAGTGGATTACCTAGATCCTTTTGGGTCGAGACGGTGGTTTATGCGAGCCATCTCGTGAATAGGTTGTCGTGCACTGCGATACATGGGAAGATTTCGTTGGAATGTTGATCTACTTCGGTAGCTAGTGACTATGAATCACTTCGGATATTTGGGTGTCCTGCTTATTACCATGTTAGTGATGGTAAATTAAATCTGAGGACGAGGAAATCAGTCTTTGTGGGATTTAGAGATGGAGTTAAAGGCTTCAAGTTATGGGATCCACAGGATAAGAAGATAGTTATTAGCAGAGATATCATATTTGAGGAGGCGTACATGATGAAGCCTCAAGTTCCTCAGAAGGTGGAGGAAGACTAGATTCAGGAGATATCACAGTAGGTGGAGGATGATGTGACTCCACTCACTCCAGAGAGCATTGTATCCATCGAGACTTCTATAGAGATGACACTAGGAGAAGATGAGATGACAACCGAGCAGATAGAGTATACAGTGGATTGTGAAACTCAGGAGCATGGTCATGTTCAGGAGTCTATTGCAACGAATAGACCTAGAAGGGTGATTCAACGGCCAGCAAGGTATAATAATGTCATGGTCGCATATGCATTATACGTAGAGGTCGTTGATGATATGATTTCATCCACATTCAAGGAGGCAGAGTCTAGCCCCGATTCGATCAGGTGGAGGGAAGCTATGAAGGAGGAGTTGCGATCTCTTCAGAAGAACGATACTTGAGAACTTGCAAAGCTACCTAAGGGTAAGAAAGCTATTGGTTGCAAGTGGGTATATACGAAGAAGGAAGGATCTTCTATTGGGGACATTCAGTTCAAAACCAGATTGGTTGTCAAGGGATATGCACAACTTAAGAGCATTGATTACAACGAGGTATTTTCACCCGTTGTGAAGCATTCGTCGATTGAGATTTTATTATCGTTGGTAGCACAGTTAGATTTAGATTTGGTCCAGATGGATGTGAAGACAGCCTTTCTACATGAAGATTTAGAAAAGGAGATCTACATGACACAACCTATAGGGTTCAAAGCTACAGGAAAAAAAGATTTGGTTTGCAAGCTGAAGAAGTCTCTTTATGGATTGAAGTAATCGTCGCGACAGTGGTACAAGAGATTCGACAACTTCATGATTGGCCAAGGGTATACGAGGAGCCCATATGATCCATGTGTTTACATGCATAAGCTACAGGATGATGAGCACATATATTTGTTTTTATATGTTGACGATATGCTTATTGCTTTCAGGAATTCTTCGGTTATTCGAAAGTTGAAAGAGGAGCTGTCATCTGAGTTTGAGATGAAGGATCTTGGAGAAGTAAAGAAGATATTGGGTATGGAGATTGAGAGAGACAGGGTGAAGGGGAGATTGAGAGAGACATGGTGAAGGGGAGATTGAAGCTTACACAGAAGAGCTATTTGCAAAAGACGTTAAAGAAATTCAGCTTTGATGGCAATGCAAAAATAGTTAGCACTCCATTGGCTTCTCACTTCAAGCTTTCAGCTAGTATGTTGCATGTTTCAGTTGAGGACAAATATTATATGTCGAAGGTCCCATATGTCAGTACAGTAGGAAGCTTGATGTATGCGATAGTGTGTACGAGGTCAGATTTGTCACAGGCCGTAAGCATGGTATCGAGGTACATGCACGATCCTGGGAAGGGTCATTAGGAGACCGTGAAGTGGATTTTACGGTATATCATAGGTACCGTGGATGTTGGATTGATTTTTTAGAAGGATGAGAAGAATGAGCAGGATTGTATTGGTTACGTGGATTCAGATTATGCTGGAGATCTTGACAAGCGCCGGTCTACTTCAGGATATGTTTTTACATTGGCAGGAGCATCAGTATGTTAGAGATGTACACTTCAGTCTACAGTGACTCTACTACAGAGGCGGAATATATGACAGTGACTGAAGCTGTGAAGGAGGCTTTGTGGTTGCGTGGATTGTTGGATGATTTGGGGATTACACAGGAAACCATTCAGGTACATTGTGATAGCATGTCGGCTATCTATTTGGTAAAGAACCAGGTTTATCATACGCGCACAAAGCACATCGATGTCAGATTCTACTTTATTCGTGACGTTTTGGATAATGGAGACGTCATATTGGAAAAGGTTCACACGAAGGACAACCCTGCAGATATGTTGACCAAAGTTGTTTCAGGTGTGAAGTTTGGTCATTGTTTGGAGCTTTTGAATATTCTTCGGTGTTGAGGCATTTGGAGGCCATTGAGTGAACTACGTGAGGCTTGATTCCTTGGGCAAGAGGATACGTAGGCAGTCTTTACGATGCAGCCGGTTTGGATCAGTTTATTTTAATGATGGTGAGATTGTTTGGACTCTCGTTTGGGTTTCCGACTTGTTGTGGGTTGAGTCCGTTGTCGTGAATTAACTTCACGATGTACTGGACATAACAAATGGGACATTTGGATGCTTTTGTTTCGGCTCAGTTTTGAAAAAACTTCATCGAGGTGGAGAATTTTGAACGTGGGGACCCACAAACCACGTGAATGGCTAAGGAGCTGACAAATTGCACGCGAGTGGGGGCATACCTCACGCACGAGATGCATTTACGCTTTTTTCAATTGGGAACGAGGCGTGGGGACCAGGTTTATCAGCCTATAAATAGGAACATGGTCTGTTCCTAGGGTTTAGTGCAAGAGCAAAAAGCGGCGAGGAGAAAGTTTGTGCGGCGTACAGGTGCAAGTACAAGCAGAGGAGAAAATTGCAGAGAAAAGTCTGCTGTGTGTTTCTTGGGCTGCGTGCATCAGGAGAAACATAGTTCTTTTTGGCTGTTTTGAGAGTTTTGAGAGTTAGTTTGAGGGTTTAGATTGTGAGATTGTAAACCCTAGTTGTATTCTCTCTCTCTAATAGTAGATCTCCCCCTCCTTGCTTCGTGGACGTAGGCTATTTGCCGAATCACGTAAAATAGTTTGTCTTGCTGTGATTTGTAATAGCTTGTAGGTTCCCTCGACAAGTCAGTCCTAGAACTGATGAGAGGAAGAGCTGATATCTCACTTTGTTGAGATATTTTACTTTTGGTTCTTGTTTCCTTTGTGAAACGAGAATTTCGTTGTGATCTAATCTCTTGTTGTGCACCTTGCGCACTGGAGGTGCTACCGAAATTTTCGCTGCGCACAACAGCTTACTCATCTTAACATTCACATTTCTGTCTTTTTTTAAAATTGTATAACGTTGAGATTTATGCTAATGTGAACTGTTAAAAAAGGTTCAACTTCATGACTATTTGTATGGTCTCAGACTATTTCTAAGAGCATTTCTCTGCTTTAACCATCATGCTTTAGTTACACTTACATGCTCAAAATTTGTAGCGCAAATGAATCATTAATACTGAGCAGGGAAAATTATCATTTACAAGGTGTTTTTCAACAATAATTTGAATTATGTTGTAGAATTTCTTTTTGTTCTTTTACTGAAGCCATACATCATAATCATATGATCGTTTCCATCGTGCTTATTCTAAAATATCTGGATTCTAGAATCCTAGTGTATTTATAATTGTTCTCTAATCTTCATCATGGTAACTCTGCCTTAATAAATATAGGAACTCCACTGATAAGCTATCAAAGATGTTAAAACACAAATCCCTTCTTTTCTAATGCTCTCTCAGCCAGTAGTACTAGTCTAGTAGCCTGAGATTAACTGAGATTTCTCTTATATTTTGCAATATGATTCCATAGGCATGGTTTCGAGAACTTCCCTCAGGCGTGTTAGACTCGCTCACACCGGATCAAGTTATGCACTGTAACACCGAAGAAGAGTGCTCGCAGCTCGTAAAGTTTCTACCACCGTCTGAAGCAGCACTTCTTGACTGGGCTATTAAAGGAATGTTATAACAAGATGAATGCTCGAAACATTGCCATGGTTTTTGCACCTAACATGACTCAGGTTAGAAACCGATCCTGATGTCTCATAAACTAGAAGGGTTAATTGTAGATAGAACCCCATACTATCACCCAATTGCAGATAGACCTATAGTTTTATTGTTGTGAATAGACCCCCTATACTACCACCCAATTGCAGATAGACCCTTTGGGTTATTTTTATTTTTATTTTGGCTTTTATACCTTCAGAAGGAGAGTTGTTTTTTGACTAGTAGACCTCTTGAGGGTAAAGGAGTCGAAAAATTTTCATGCATGGTGTCTTATCTGCAACAATAGAACTACAATTGAACAATAGTATAGGGGTTCTGTCCCGCAATTAACCCAAACAAAATAGTGATCCACAAACTAATTGCTGTGTATATCTATTTTGGTCCAGATGGCAGATCCGTTGACTGCATTGATCCATGCCGTTCAAGTAATGAACTTCCTCAAGACATTGATTATGAAGACACTCCGAGAAAGAGAGGCAGCTAAGGAATTCATGTTGTTACCCTTTAGTTCTGAATTTCCAACCAGTAATGAGGGACCCAGTACCTCAGAAGTTGCAGATAAATCCAGTGCAGGTATGAGAGATGCAGAATCTTTTAACAAGTTCGTACACAGCAGAACACAGGCTCTGGACTTTGATCCTGAAGAGAGTTTTCATAGTTTTGAGAAGAAGAGCGAAGTTGAGGACAATGAGTTCATTTCTGGTAGAAGCTCTCCCAGTAGGGAGGGCTCTAA